GACGATCGAGGGTGGAGAGTGGAGAAAACTGCATATGTCTATTGTGCAACTTGTTGGCCGGTCTCTTATGGTGTGGGCCGTGTGTTTTATTTTCAAGGTTTTCAAGGCTATGAGTTTTGCCATTGTTGCCGACCATTTTTTAAGCATTTCACCCCAAGTAAAGCGGCAGAGTCACTAGTACGCAAGGGGGCTACAGAGAGTGTCAGGGAAAAGACTAGGTAAAAGGATAAAAAGAAGAACGGGGATCAAGGTGACAGATGTCGATTGACATTACATTTAAATTTTTGAAGATTATAGGGAAACAAATAAAAAGAAGAGAGTTCCACTGTTGGGAAATGCGAGAGAAGCTGCTGCTGGAGTAGAATAGTTGGTTACATTTAACTGTTTCGTCAGTAAAAGGGTGGGGCCGAGATGCCAACCTAGTAGCACGCTTACATTCACGCAATCGGGGCACCAGTGAAAATAACTCGTCAGAGCAGATGTCATAAAAAATATTTATAGAAAAGACAGAGGTAAGCCACATTACGTCGGTGAGAAAGTGACTGGAGTCGAGAAGTCAGGATCGATCAGATTGCATATCCGTCTTTGGATTTTTTCGAGAACCTCGAGATGAACAGCGGGGGCATCAGACCATATATGTCAACAATATTTCATACATGGACGAATGGTAGATTTGTAAATGGACTCAGAGGAGAAAAACCTTCTGGTACGATACAGAGAATCAGCTTTCCTTGCAGTAGATGCAGCTATTGATTCAATGTAATTGTTCCACTTCCGGTCAGTGAAGAACATGAGACCAAGAAGTCGCAGTGAGGCGCTCTCGTGAAGTTGAGCATCAGCAATGCTGATAGGAGTCAGGGACGTTTCTCTATAGTGAGGAAATGGCAGCAGTTTCGTTTTGGATGCATTAAAATTCCCAAGCCATTTTGTGTCCCAGTCAACCACAGACCGGAGTTCATTTTCGATACCAACGATCAGGTAACTTTGTCAGCAATGCTGGATTTACAATTTAGACAGGAGTAAATGCTAATGTCGTCTGCGTCGATACCTATTTGAGAACTGATGACACCAGGAAGATCATTGATGAACATCAGAAACAGTGTAGGACCAAGGATAGGGCCTTGAGGAACACCAGCTTTAGTATGGAAGTAACTGGAAGAGAAGCAAAGGGGAAACCATATTGTTTGTCAGAGAGCAGATAGTGGGAGGTTAGATGATTAACTACTTTGTCATTAATAAAAACCTCAAAGACTTTGCCGAAGAGAGGTTGGTGACTGATGGGACGGTAGTTAAATGGGTCAGAAGGACCTCCAGAGTTCTTAAACAGAGTGACGACAGAAGTGGAGTTCCAACAGGCTGGAAAGCAAGAATCGGCGAGGTAATAGATGTATAGTTTGGAGAGAACTAAATCTAGCTAACAGGGTATATTTCTTTAGGACGATGGCTGGTATCCCATCACCACCACTCTCTTTTTGAGAGTCTAATTTAGAGATGATGTCTAATACCATCGAAGGGGTAATTCGCATATCACTCAGTATAGCGTGAGTTATCGGGGGAAAATCAGGTGTGGGTACCTTGGATGAGTCATGAGTTGAGTTGGATGAGAATTTTCGAGCAAAGCATTCAGCCTTAACAGCTGAGGATGTTAGGACTTCGAATTGATTGAATAGAGGAGGAATTGAAGATTTGCTGTAGTTCAGCACACTCCTGTAGAGCCGCCAATAATCTTTAGAACCAAACTTGCGGGATGCAATACCTTGTTTCATTCTATCAGCAAACAGTAACTTTGTTTCGTTGAGGATACGCTTGCACTCATTACGAGTAAAGACAAAGAGACGTGTGTTGCAATGAGACATATCGCTCCAGTACAGACGGAAGAAGTAATTCCTATGGGCTATAGCGGCAGAGGTAACAGAATTGTCTCGATTACTGAATTGAGGAGAGATTGACGGAGAAATATATACGAATGGTTTGGAAATTCCAAAGAGAGTTCTCTAGCCAGTGGGAGATGATCGCGGACATTAACTCCCAGGCCCTGCTTGTAGATTTTAGAATCGTTTCTAAGGTAGTCAGGAATCGAGAAATCAGAGAAAGGGATTGACAAGTTATGATTAGTCTCGCAGAATTACATCTCTTTGTGCTCAACATATTCACCGGGGTTGGGGATGGTTTGTCCCAGTAAGATAGTTTAACCTCCCATGGGCGACACAGAAGTGGAAGCAGAAACGCTCAGCTGACTTCCTGTTATTATACTGAATCCCAGGAGCACCAGGTTTAAACTCCATTGAGTTTGTACTATTGTACATCTCATTAAATCCCCTGCATCCACAATCATAAACACATCGCACTGCCGCCGTTACTCATGTCAAATGAGACACTATACCTTATTGGGTAGGTTTTTTATCGAATTGTTTTTTTTTTTACTGCTTATCAACTCTTTATAGGTCATTTAAAAGCCGAAATATATTTTAAATTGTTGGAATAATTCTTTTCTTTTGTATGTGAGTATTTCATTAATATTTTTTTGAAGATAGCAAAGATTTTCCAAATACAAGTCTCATTATTTAACCCACAGTTGGGGAATCATAACTTTCCCAAGGGTATTTCTGCCTAAGTGAACGTAAGGATTTCTCATTCTGAGACGCTATCCGTACATTCTTATTGGGTAGGTGTTTATAATTTTTGCTAAGTTTACATATCCTGTTCGTACTTCTATTCCAGTAGAAATATTTCGAAACAATTACATCCCTAGTCGATAACGATTACTGTCGACGGTTCTCTTCGAATACCTTCCAATGGTTCCTTTCGCGATACACAATCAACTCAATAAGTAGTTTCTACGACCCTCATGCGACCCTCAAAGGACGTCAAATTTTAAAAGTTTATGAGTCACTTTTATGAAATGCAATGTCGCCGTTATTGCTACAGTTTTGTTTATCTAGGCGAGTTTTTCTATAGGTCTACATTTCAAAGTTTTCAAAACCTACAAAACCAGATATGATGAATAATAAAAATAAAATCTCAGATAACTATTTGACAAGTTAGTAGTAAGCAAATAAGTGTTCATGCGTTTAATTAGGTCAGCGAAGGAGATCTTTGCAATTAAATACTGCGTCTGAGATTGTAATTCAATATATCATAGCTCTTCTCAGTGAAGTTTGTATTATGTCGTGAAGGATATCGCACAGGACCTCCTCAGTCTCGTCTCCGTCTCGTCTACTTCTCGTCTCCTTCTCCTCTCCTTCCGCTATTTTCTTCTATCAAATAGTGTTCGCGCACTTTCTAACATTCAGCCATTTTTACGTTCCTATTGTGAGGCCTTTTGCATGCAGAAAATTCTCAATTGCGTGGCCAATAAAAAAGCCTGCAGGTGATACTGTCCATACCCGCTACCACCCGTAAGGGAAGTACAACAGTGTTCTAAAAACGACGAATTCTATACGTTTCGCCCTTGTGATGTTAAGTTTTGCTTTCTTTTGTTGTCGTTATGCCATAGCTTTCAGTTTATGGAGAATTGAGCGTTTGAGAATAAGGACCAAAAAAGGTGATTTAGCCAGCGCTATTTAGGTTTAAGCATAAAAGTTATATGTAAACAACTTCTATTCACTGCATGTGGTGCGTTTACAAAATTTGAACGAGTTTGATTTTATAACGGCAGGGCGTGATGGAGATCCGCCTCATAGGTCTGTTGGCTTCCAATGGGCATTGATTTTATTCTTATAAAAGGTCAATACGCATCGCATTTGAAGGATGGATGAAACCAGAAGGAAAACTTGAATATATTGGCAATAGTTATAATTAATCATTGATCCTAAACGCGTATTATTTTACATTTTTCGAAAAACGTGTGGAAAATGTAAAACAATATAAAAAGGAGTCAAAGAAACGAATATATGAAAAAGTAAAATAAAATAAAATAAATTTAAAATAAAGAAAGAAAATATATATATATATATATATATATATATATATATATAGAGAGAGAGAGAGAGAGAGAAGAGAGAAATTTCTTTGCCTTGTATGGAAAATTTTCAAAAATGTTAAAAAGAAGTGATGTTTCGTGAATCGTATTTTTAAATAAAATCGTTTATTACCCACTATTATTATTAACCGGCTGACGAGACGTTTTTAGACGTCGAAACAAATATGCATTTTTGTCGCGGTAACTTTGCATTCTCCTTTGTAACAAATCATAATAAATATTTATTGCTCTTCTTCGTGTATTGAGCCCTTTTTTAAAATTAATGTTATGAACGTTTGAATTTGTATTCTTTTCCTTCTTTTACTTTTGGATATATATATATCTATAAGTGTGTGTGTGTTTGTGTTAGTGTGTGTAGAGATGATAAGAGGGACAAGATACAGTGTGAAAGATTTAAAAGTGATATATATATATATATATATATATATATATGAGGAAACTGCGATAGCTAACTTGCTAGCTGTGGTTTTATCGAAATTATTCAATGCAGGTTGTAATATGAAAAAAATGTACGGTTCGTAACTTTCTGTTCATATCCTTTTATTCGTATGAGTTTGTCTTAGCTGCCAATTTTCTTCACCTATTCCTATCTATCAATAATAAGTATAAATTTTAGTGTTTAACTTCACATAGCTAAATGGGACTGAATAGACATGAGAATATTATTATTTTGTCTTGATCGTAAACGCCAATTCTTGGTTCGTATGTCAGTCAGAGGAAGTCTTTCTCTTGATACTGATTGTTAGCTGACTTAAGGACGGGCAAAGACCAGTTTCGAAGAAAAATGGCAAAAGAACATTTTAATATCTTTCTCTGTTATGAAATCTGACCTTTAACACTTTTCCTGAAAATATCCACAACTTAGCCATTGTATAAATTTCTGGATAAAACCGGTGAGAAAGAATTAGGAAAATGGTAACGAATTAAAATTGGCGGACAAGAAATAAAGGAGGCACTGTATTTGGATAGCAGAGAATACAAGAACACCCCTCTCTGCCCGATTAATAATTCCGATACATTACAGTACTTGGTATTCCCAAGTGATCACCCATCTAGGTACTAACCAGGCTTAACGTTGCTTAACTTTTGTGTTCGTATGGGAACCTATGTTTGAACGCTATATGGCCGTAAGCCAGAACACAAGAGGGAGAGGAAGGGAGTTATGGAGAGAGAGAGAGAGAATGAAAGAAAGATAGAACCTGTTCAACCAGAATAAGGTTGATCAAATTACTGAAAGCGATGTTATACTGGCAACGCACACACACACACACACACACACACACACACACACACACACACACACGGGTGCGAGTGTGAAAAAACTGACTAATCATTCTCTTCTTGCAATGATGCTTTCGCAATACAGAAACTATCCTTGCTTTACGGTCTTACGGATGACACAGAGATGAAGACGGGTGTAGGGATGTTTTTAAATAAAATATGTTCGTATTTTGTTCAATTAACGGTTAAGAAATAATTACATTCTGATCCGTCGGTAATATTTTTTCTGTATCCGTTATTTTATGAATAGCTACTCAACAAAGATTTCTTGATGAATGCAACCTGCCATATGGGCTTAAGTAAATTTCCCATCGCCTTAATATTGTTCCCTTGTGCTTTTTCTGTAAATACTTCCATCGTAATTGTTATGATGGACTTTCTCCTATGGTACCTAGACTTTATGAATTTAAGCGCAGTGCTAGATTGGTGGCTACCTTTCATCTTCTTATAGTTAAAATGGCTAGATTCAACCGCAATTTCTATGCCTACAGTTCCTTCACTTGCACTTCTTGCTTGCGGAACTCTTTTCCAGTTTTTTACTTTCCAGTCAACTTCAATGTCAATCATTATCGTTTGTCTTCTTAATTTCTTTTATTTTATTTTTCTCTCTCCTTAACAACGTTTTCATTTTTTTTCTCATATTCCTTCACACCCAATAAGCCCCTGCGTCTTAGTGGCTTTGTTATTTTGCTTGGGGTGAAAAGTTTAAACAATAAATAATCTCTTGCAGAATATATATTCTGACATCTCTTCGATGAAAGACTCAGAAATACATGCAGATGTTAAGTGCTTCCCGAATTTCGACAACCTCAGCCACAATATCTAAATAGAAAGAAAGATCATTACATATTTCTCTACTAGCAAATCCTAAACGAAAATAATAAAAAAATTTTAACTGAAAAATGTAGTTGCTATTTTAATCTCAAATTATTATGGTTACTGTGAATTCCCAATGTTACTAATAACAAAATACGAAACTGTAAAAATGTCAAATAAATTTAAAAAAATGTAAAACAAATTAAAAGAAAAACCTCTCGAGTAAACTAAAGGTAAACATTACACCAGCTTTTATCAGTGAGTCGAATTTTGGGGAAGGAAAATAGGATGTGAGGAAATCAGGAAAAATAGTTGGATATTTTTGGACAAATAATGGGAAAGGTGGTTAGGAGAGTTGTGAGCAGGAATCACAGAGGACTCTGGGTGGTGATCGTGGCTGAGCGAGTCGGGCTATTTGGTGTACCCTCCTGACAGCACGTTGCAGATCCTCTTCATGTCGGATGATCCTACGCTAAGAAGGCCGATTTTCATCAATGGTTCCCCAGGTTTCAGGGTCGATGCTGGCTTGGATCAGCGAAATTTTCAGCGGAATAAAAATGTATTAAAAATATGGAAGATACGGAGATAAAAACATGGCTGAAACGTTTCCCTTATTATATAAGATTTAACAGTATTTTTTAAAACTAAGCGATTGCCCTTACAACAACAGAACTCCATCACACGCTCACTATAAAAATGTTTTTTTGCCATTTCAAAATTTATGGATAGATTTTATTTTATTTTTTCATTTACGACCCAGAAAAAAAATATTGTGATCTGGCTACTGTGTGTGAGTCGTTTGATTAAATCAAGCAAATCATCGACATTTTTCATTATGTAACTCAAACCAACAAAAAACGGGAAAGAGAGTTTGCTTCTACCGTAGTGAGCCGTTTCAAATGTTAGCAGAACACTTGGTCGTCCTGCCTCGCCGAGATAAAAGAAACTCTCAGCTTAGCTTTACTCTGACCGTCGACCTTCTCGAGGGAATTTTTTTACGTCCGCGTCACCACCTAGTGCGATCGCAGTTGACAATTCATTAAGAAGGAATGTATGAGTCAAATGTTGACAATTTTGCCTTATCGGACGGGTCAAGAGAAGAAGAAAAGGCTTTCACAGGCACACACACAGGCACACGCACACACATACACAGCTGAAAATACAGCTAAAGCAGGTATGGTGATGTACTAAGCAACATATTAGATTAAATATTTATTTTAGTATCGGTTTCTTTCTTACTTTTCTTCGGGAAAGAAAATAGTTTCTTTCTTTACGATTTTTTTTTCTCTTCGTTTACGGATTTTTTTTATGTTGGCTGAAAATGAAAACATTGATATAATAAATAAAATCTTTTTATCGGTGTTTTCATTTTTTATCATTTGATTTCTTTTTCCCACATTTTATTTTCCTTATTTTCATTCTTGCTTTCTTTTATCTTTTCATAAATATCTTTTCTTATTATCGACTTAGAGCAACACTTTCTTGCTTTTTATTCTTCCTTACTTTCAGTTATATATTCCTTCCTTCCATTCAATTCTTTCTTTAAAAAATCCTTCCTACTTTCTTTCTTTCTTTCTTTCTTTCTTTCTTTCTTTCTTTCTATTGTTTGTTCCCTTCTTCTTTCTTTCGTTTCCTGCTTACAATTTTCTTCTTGCTTCTTTCTTACCTTTAAATCTTCTTTCCCTCTTTTCATTTCGTTCTTTATTTCTTTTTCCATTTATTTATTCTTAGTTGCTTCCTTCCTTCCTTCCTTCATTAATGTTCCTTCCTAACATTCAATTTCTTTCTTTCTGTCTTTCTTTCTTTCTTTCTTTCTTTCTTTCTTTCTTTCTTTCTTTCTAGCTTGCTTCCTTTTGCTTATTCCTGCCTTTTTTCTTCTTTCTTTCTTTCTTTCTTTCTTTCTTTCTTTCTTTCTTTCTTTCTTTCTTTCTTTCTAGCTTGCTTCCTTTCGATTATTCCTGCCTTCTTTCTTTCTTTCTTTATTTCTTTCTTTCTTTCTTTCTTTCTTTCTTTCTTTCTTTCTTTCTTTCTTTCTTTCTTTCAAATCTTTTTTCCTTCTTTCTTTCCGTCCTTAATTTCAATTCTTCCTTTTAAACTTTTCTTTCGTCATCCGCCATTTAAATCTTCTTTCACTTCATTCTTTATTTCATCTCACATAAATAACGACGAACATTAAAGTAATTGTTAATTTGCTATGACAAATTTACTAAAATATTTACTTCGTGACACTTCCCTATCAATAGGAAATTGCATCATTCTATTTATTTTTAAACGTGTTTTATAAGCATCTATTTCTATGCACACACACACACACACACACATATATATATATATATATATATATATATATATATATATATATACATATACATATATATATATATATATATATATATATATATATATATATATATATATATATATATATATATATATATATATATATATATATATATATATATATATATATATATACATATATATATACATATATATATATATACATATTGTGTGTATTTAGGCAGCATATTTTCATTTATACGTTTCATTAAATAATATAGACAAGTGTTGTCTATTTATTTTATGTAAAATTTTTTCGTATCTTCTGATAAGTTTGGTAACATTATCATTTACCGAAAAAAGAAATTCACAATATTTATCCATTATTTTTAATAAAATCTAAGCTTTCGGTTTACTCAAGCCATTATCAAAGATGTAAATACAAACATATCAAACAATATATGGACACGACAGTGATGATATAGTCTGTCATTGTTATGTTTACATAGTGGATCACTAAGCAACGATGAACACGCGCATATAAGACGCTAGAAGATATAAGATATATATATATATATATATATATATATATATATATATATATATATATATATATATATATATATATATATATATATATATATATATATATATATATATATATATATATATATATATATATATATATATATATATATATATATATATATATATATATATATATATATATATATATATATATATATATATATATATATATATATATATATATATATATATATATATATATATATATATATATATATATATATATATTTGGTTTTACTAGGTTTTGTTCACCACTATTGCTGTGAGTTCAATACCTGGCTACTGCAGTGGTGAACAAAACTTGGAGTGATAACTAAGACATCCGGAAGAGGCATGGCATGATGAACTAGAACAATCTATCCCAGTAGACGAAATAAATTCGAAATTCCAATCACCTGAAGAAGGCCGGAGTGTACAACGACCGAAACATCATGAATATGGCACTAAATGTGAGGAGAAGAGTCCAAACAATCTAAATAATGTAGATAGATAGATATCAATCTATTAATCCAAACAAGATTTTTCAAACTCAACTTCCGCTTGTTTAATGTTTCACTGTATTTTTACAATTTTGAAATATTATGTTGTACAACGAGATCCAAATTTTGGAAAAGCTATCTAAAGTTTATGTTTGATCTGGGCTTTTTTTTTTTTTTTACATACTTTCAACTTTTTCAGCCATTAATCGAAAACTGGAAAAATACAATCAAAATTTAAACAGCCGGACTATGTCGGTTGAATTTAACGAAACTTGTTTGGATGATTTTTTCTGCCTAAATATAGCTTATATATTCGGTATATTTGGGCAACAGATGATCTTTTAGACGCCGAATGTTATGTAATAACAAACGTCTAATAAGATGTTTTGAAGTAAAAAAAAAATTAGACATCTCCGGTTTAATAATACGAGAATACTTTATAGCATCAATTGTAAAAAAAAGTGCAAAGATTATAGAATCTTAATTAATGCTGAATAAATAAAAATCGTTGTGATTAACCCTGGATGTTGAAGATAGTGGTCTTATTTTGTTTGTATCGTTCAGATGGGTTCGTGGATTGTGAAGTAGATAATTGGAACAATTTTTGCTCAAAAGGTCCTTCGATATTAAGGACAAGTTTTTTTTTCCGGGCGGTGGATTAGGTTGTAGTTGTTGTTGTGGTCTATC